TCAGCTCGACAGCGTTTGATAGTCTTGTTAATAATTGTACTTCTTAGGTTTCCAGATATGTTTGCTTCATATTTCAAATGTCAACATTAATGATTCATCAGCCGGTCTCTCTCTTTTTTTTCTCCCCCCCCAAAGACGGAAACAGATGGCTGGGGAGATGGGGATGACCTGAACTGGGAGGATGAGAATTCCTGGTGAAGGCATCTGATGCACAAACCCCATCTGAAGAAAAACCCACTTAACCACTGGAGAAGCGAACCCCACGCACCACATCTGGAGCAGTAAAGTGGAAGCAGCTTCTCATTTAACACAACATAGACGGAATGGTAATTACAAAGAGAGGCTGTTAATCTTTAGAGCGAGCTGTGAGCGGGATGAACCGACTGCCCGTCCGATTGGTGCTGAACATGGACAATAGAAACTATTTCTAATCATCTGCCAATTGACAGCAATCACCTCAAGATAATTTAGATCTTAAACAGAGGTGAATGCTGTTTTCTTTCGCTCTTAACGTTTTATTTTTTAATTTGCCAATTACATGTTTGGATGTTTGGCTTTAAACTCAAGACCAATCCCTGGTAGGACATATTTCTATAATGAGTAAGGTTTGATTAACTGAAAGCTTGCACTATGAATGAATGTGAAACAGAAGGGATTTAATTTGAGTTTTCTGGTTGCTGGTGAAATAAACATTTTACTGAATAAAATGTATTGTTGTTTTACTTTACTCTAAAGCTAAACCTGCTAAAAGAAAAGAAAACCATTGGTATGCAGATATGTTGAATAAGCACTTAGTCAGAGATAATAGAGATAATTGTCAGCATAAAAAACTGTTTAATAATAATGTATAAACTGATTTAAGTACAAGTTTTCAGTACTGGGACTATACAATGTTTGGCTAGAACTTAGGCCGGAGCTGCTATGTGGTGTGTCTGCCTGAAATGATGCATCCTATGAGGGTCTGCAGCTCCTGTAACCTGGATTCCAGCCATGGCGGAGGGGGCTCGGCGCCGTCGGCTTTATCCTCCACGTGAGCCTGGAGGGCCTTCAGAGCACTCTCGGCTGTCTGGATGTAGCGGCTGTACATCTCCTCTGAGCTGTTCTCCTGCCGAGCTCTCTTCGGGCATGGCTGAGAGGAAAGAATAATAATTACAAGAAGAAAAAATCGTCAAACATCTTTTTAGTGAAGACATTTGTGTCTGTTTTAAGGTTAATGCTCCACAGATAACGTGCAAAAGCTTTTTTAATGAATTACTTTTGGTTAATATACAAGTGCCACAGTCAGTTCAAAGCCTACACCTAAAATAATTGATATCAAATAATGAATAATCCCCCTCTTCAACAAAAGTAGTGTTACTTTTACCTACTTTGTCCTCTTTTGTATAAGTAAGTTATTCTGAAAATATTATATTATTATAATTAAGTACATTTACATTTAAAAAATATATATTTTTTATTTATAACTAACAATAATGACTGAGTATTAGGGCCATATTAAAATTTTTTTTAAATTAATTGCCAGTTTAAAGTCGTTATTAAATAAAGTGAGAATAAATTACGAGAAAAAAGTCGGAAATATTCTTTCCTGTTTTAGAGGTGAGTTGATCAAATCAGGGCTGTGGAGCATTTTCATGGAAAATGTACTTTAGAACAGGTTTCCCAGACAAGGAAATACTTAGTCTTTTGACACATCTGCATCAGATGCTCATAGGTTTCAGAACATGCCAGAAAATGCATCTTTTCCCCAAAGAGAACCAGGCAGACTTCTAACCATATTTAATAATGACTCGTAAGAAATTCCCCCAAATAAAAAAAAGAAAGAAGTGCAAATCTAAAAAAACAACAGTACAATAATATTCACATTTTAAATGTTTTACCATTTCAGTATATAGGAAATGAATATTTTCACAGTTGTTTGGACGTATGTCAAGCTAGCGATACTACTAACCTCTGAGTCTGTGACAGCTTTGTCTTCAGCAGCCACTTCGTTGGAAACCGTATCTGTTTTTTCCAGCTTATTCCTGTGTTGCTCGATGACTATTTTCTCTTGTTTTAGCCTCTGTAAACACGACTCTGCATCTCCTTGCGAGCTCGGAATCTGAAAACATGGAAGACTCATTTAACAACCAGTTTTTTTTTTGTTTTTTTAGGCTTATTAGGTCATGATCCCTCTATGTTTTGACATGGCTTACCTTGCTGAGATAATTGACCACTTTGGTTTTCGTTCTCTCCTCACATAAACTCTGGGAAATGACTTCTTCGTGGTTTGTGCTCTTAAATCACCAGGGCAACACATAAAGGTTAAAATGGGTTACAATAATACGCCACTTGTTAATAAAGGCATTACTTATGCATATTTTTCTAAGGTTTTTTTTATTTTATTTTTTTATTTATTTGTACAGTCTTTTGTTAGATTTGGCTGAAGTGGCCGGGGAGAGGAAAGTCTGGGTTTCCCTGCTCCGGCTGCTGCCCCCGCGACCCGACCCCGGATAAGCGGTGGAAAATGGATGGATGGATGGATATTGAAAAAAATAAAGCATTGTATAGATTGAATATGGAACTATTTATGATATTATGTCTGGTTTACAATAAAAATTATTTGATGCAACAACTCTAAAATACCACTTAAAACGTTAAAATCGACTTTGCCATACCTCTGCAAAACAGGAAAAGGCCTCTAGGGCGTGCTGATGTAGCAGCCAGGATTTGTCAGCTAAAAGGACAGCAAACAGGCCACTCAGCCTTGGAAGAATCTGGCTCTGAAACCCCAAAATTAAAAGAGTCAAGAAACATATTTTTAACCCATAAAAACAGTGTGACACATATTTGACAACCTATTTAAACTAAAATGCAATACTGAATGGAACTTCTGAAAATCACAGATCTTTTACATTTTGTGGTGCTACCTGACTTTTTTTTAGTTTTTTTATGTAATAAATTGGTTTCATTTGGTCAGTTTTCTATTCCCTATTATTTCTCTTTATGTATAAATGATTCTGGGCTTTTATGGGTTAAAATGCAGAAAAACATAATTGTTTTTTTTCCCCCATTTGAATCAGAACGTAACAAATATTTTTATTGAGAGCATTAGCAGACAAACGTCTCTTCTCACTTTTTTTCTTTTTCTTTACAACCTGTCTGTGGTGTATCTCACCTCTAACTGAATGACGGCTGTTAAAAAAATGGATGATGGATAGATTGTTTTATTACCTGGCTGTCAGTAGGGAAAAAGATCTTCCCTAGAGAGGAGAGGAACTCTAGAGCAGCGAGCAGTAGCTGATCCCCACACTTCTGAGAAACCATAGCATCCAGGCACTGCAGAGCCTAAAACGTCACCCAGCAGTCAGTAGAAATATTCCTCGCTCTTCAGCTGTTTTAAGGTGAAAAAAGAAAGAACAAAGCTCACCTGACAAATCACTTGTGGCTCGATGTTGCTCGCTAACATGGCTGTTGTTGACAAGAGCAGCTGCAAAGTACACTGGAGCACGGCGTGGGTCTGCAACTGTAACGTGACCAGTTTACTTTTTTTTGTTGGTGTTACTTCACTTTAGTTGTTACGCGTGGCTGCACTTTGCTCTCACCTGATCAGGACTCATTCTCAGCCAGAGCTGCGAGACTATTCTGACCGCCGCCGGCGTTCCCCGTTCTTCCGAAGGCGATAGTTCTCGTCCCTGAACCACCGTCAGCAGAGATGACAGCACGGCATTCTGGGAACGGGAATTATTTACACTGCATTGTTAAGTCGCGACGCAGTCATTGTTGATAAAAATCAAAGAGCAAATGAAAAAAGCATTGGCTCAAAAACACAAATACAGAAAATTTTAGCAACAAGGTTTTGGCTTAAATAAGCAGATAAAATATCCAAAATGTCAGATAAAATCCTTGAAATACTGCCTTTAAAGAATACGGGTCTTTTGAGCTTTGATACTAACCACTTGATATAACTGAGTAAAACTTTTTGGCATAGCTTTTGTTTTTCTTTTTTTTGCTTACATGTGTTTATGTGCTTAATATGAGCCACTAATTCTCAGAATATACCAGCTTTAAATGAAGGGGAAACATGAGTTCATTTTGCCCTTCAGGCCTTTGGAATGTCTTTGTGCTACACAAAGGTGTTGGAAAAAAAGAAGGATGAATAAAGAAAAAAAACACTGGCTGGCCGTGATTGTGCGGGATTGTAACGAATGACACTTTTCAGTTTGTCCTCACCACTTTCTCAACTTGTCCCAGCTTGTGCCCGTTCTGCCAGTCAGCCACGACCTTTTGAGCGAGGTGAATAATTTCCGCCTCTACGCGGTGGCGGGTGTCCTGTGAGAGTGCTCTGAGGAGGATGTGACGCCACACTGTGTGGTTCTCCACCTCAGACGGTGGGAAATGCGCCACCAGCTCCGTCTGGAAAAAAAAACAAATTCACAAATTCATCATCTACCTTTCAATGTTTTCAGGTTTTATTGGAGATAAACAAGGATCGTCCCCCCAAAAAAAAGGTTTAAAACTGTTGGTCGACGCAGTTTAGATTCAACGTGGGAACTAAATTCAGTGCAACGCACAGAATATCTTTTGTTTATGACCAAATTATAGCAGATACAGTGCTTAGTTCACACACCAATAGACTCTGGGATAGTTTTTATAATAGTTATAGAACTCTGATCAATGTTTCACCTCTTTGAATTGAGCAAGTATCCTTTTTTTATTTTGATTTATTTCTATTTGTTGCTTACGGCTGCACTATTTCAATCTGTACTTAGTTTTAATCACGTTACAGATATCTCGATTCACCTTACATGGATCAGTAGACAAATTTAGTTGCACTACTGCTCATTGAGGATGATGGAGAAACTCACTATGTTTGCAACAGAAGCTTCAGTGTGTTTTCTTTCTTTCCTAGACACAACCTGTGACGATCACATCTCATCTCCCTCTGCTCCTGCGTTTTTGAGGTACCTTGAATGCACCATCACTGTCTCTTTGTGCTCTGGCATTTAAACAATTGGAAGCCAGGTGGCACTGCCGCATACTGTATCATATCGCTGGTTATGTATGAAGTGGAAATAAATATATTGACACTCTTTCCTGAGTACATACAAAATCGTATCATCACGATTTCTCACCTGGTGGGTTGGAGTCATAAGGAAAACCATGCGTTTCAGCAGTAAACCCAAATGAAACAACTGGTAACACTCGGAGGGGCATAATTTCACCTAGAGGAAGGAAAAATCAGAGAGAACTGGATAAATATCAGTGTAAAGGCTAAGAAGTTACACCAGTATAGGACACATATGGCGCATTTCCATTCACTTTAATGTGGGTTTGTTTATTACACATTTATTTAACACTACTAAATTGGAGGTTTGCTGTTTTTAGCATGGGTGGGGATACGCGTGACAGAGTCGTATGACTTCATGGCCAATCAGCGCCCGGCAGTCTGCCGTTGTCCAGACCTGATGGAAATCCTCATAAGAATGTGGTAAAGTTGTGACTGTTTAGTGGGGCCGGCCCCTACTGGAAAATCAAATATACCGCATAGAGCCGTGCCAATTAGGCACTAGTGGAAAAGCGCCAATAGGGTCCAATTATGATGGTTATCTATAGTAAAGAAGGTATAAATATGTAGTATCCACAATGATTTGCTTATAAAATCATAGCTTATAATCATAAGATCGTGACATGAAATCATAGGTTAAGTGCAGCTGATTCTAAGTGTAAAATCTATTTATCTATCTAGGCTAAAGAGGACTGAAAGCCGAACCAATCCAAAGAGGTTAAGTGGAACTAGAAATATCAAGGCTTACATATAGATTTTGAAATCTTTGTCGTGTGTATAGTGATAGTAATAGTGTATAGTGTAATAGTGTTGGTGTGCATTATTAAGGTGTAATGCACACCTGTACATATGTTTAATTATTCTTTGCCTTGTCTCTACCCACCAGCTGAGCAATGAGGAGGACATGTTGTAGGCAAAGCTCTGCTGTTCCATATCTGTAAGTAGGATAGTACAAAAAAACATTTTTTTTTTAATTAATCAGTCAATCTTATTGTTGGACATGCATATCTAATCCTATTTTCTTATGCCTTATCTTATTTTTTTTTTCTGCATACAATGAAAATCAGCATCAATTAAACAATTTTAAAAGCTAATTCTACTAGATTCTTATGTTAGTACGATGGCATGAAAACTACTAACATGGATAAGTCAAAAGTCAAAGAGTAATACTGTTTTAATACTAAAAAAAGTTAATCTAAACATCACAGAAACATGAATGATGTGTAATAGTAATAGCGAAATAAAAATAAACAATTACAGAAGGTCACCTATATTCACCAACGCACGATTGCTCACTTTCTCCCTGACTGTTTATTTGGTGACTTCATATTATGTTATAACTTCATTTTGGTTTAAACATTGCAGAAAAGTAAACAATCCAAATGATACCATTGTGCTAATACTTACCGTGCTGTGAAGGACCACACATCTGTTGCCAGCAGTACTGTTTGAGTGTCCGGCTGCAGAATGTTATCAACCAAGCATCGTTCCTGAAAAAGAGAGATAAGGAAATCAGATGGATTAGAGGGGAAAAACAACAAAAATAACTCAAAATATTTAAAAGGCTTTCATAAAGAAAGTGAAAGAATAACAAAAATCCTTCCAAATGATTTTTTTACATGGCTTTCCAACATACCTCTAAAATAAAGGGGAAACATTACTTAAAATCAACCTGGCTTCTTGCTGATTAACAGATCAATAATGAAAATTTTAAGATTACAACCAAGGTAAAATCTCCTATACAAGGCTTCTACAATATTTTTTCTATAGCGAATAACTTACTGAGAAGCAACATCTACGGCTGCAGATGGGAATTTTTTACTTATCACTAGAACAGTGGGGATGAGATCTAAAATCATATAAATTAAATTAAAATGAATAAATAAAATGATTAAATCATTTGCTTTAGCATGTTAATATGAACAAAAAGCATCTATTATAAAATAATTTTAACAAACGATAGCTTCAAAATATATCACTGTCCAGATGCTTTGTTTGACCGAAAATAGTTCATCTTCACAGCAAAAACTTGTTTAACTGAGAAAAAAAGAGGTCCTACTGAGATTAAGCGCCAGATTATGTCAAATGCAGCGGATGTGGTGTAATCAGATCTCACCAGGACAGAAAAGTACTCGTGGGGGAGCACAGCCACGCTTGCGCAGAGCTGCTCACAGATGTGGCGATGTAAGCTGACCTTAACCTGAGCCTGACCCTTCAGCATCAGCCCCGGCAAAAGCACGGGTGCCTTTCGCTCAGTGTAGCATTGCCGGAAGCTCATAAAGATAGCTTGGTAGAGGGGAAGTCTACAACAAAGACGAGGGCAAAAGAAAAACATGTCGACTGACACACTGGAAAATGGGAAAATACAGCAGATGACAAGAATAGAAACCTTTATTACCTGGGTGTCTCCTCTTTGAACTCACTACCGGTATACCAAAGCTGCATGACTTCTTCAGGCTGGCAGGCCAGATGACCCATGATGCTCACCAATAGGAGACAGTGGGGGAGCTCATGTTCAGGACTCAATCCTGAAAGCAGTGTTTAGCATGTCTTACTAAATAAGTATAAACCAAGAGCTGGGGTGTTACGTCAAACCTTTTTTGAAGAAGTTTAAAAAAAAAAAAAAGACATTCCTACAAAATACAAAATAACAAAAAACTATTTCCTAAATTGCCAGAAGCCTGGTATTCAGATGAAGTCAAAGTAAATTATTTAGGGTTAGTGTTCGGTGAATATTTATGGAAGTATGGTGACAATTAGCTGTTTTATGTAAGATTTTTTCACACAGCATATATTTTTTGCCTGCAAATCTTACTGAATAAGTATAAAGCAGGACCTGGAGTGGTGAAGTCAAACTATCTGGGCAAACTTAAAAAAAATACTTTCTTAAAAATAAAAATAATGGATAAAAAAAACACCACATTGTTTGCTTGCCATTTTTTAAACTCTTGCACTATTGACAGTTATTTATCTGTTCAATCTTGCACTGATTGTTCAAACTGTTGTTTAAATCTCATCGTGGTCTCTTCTCTCACTCTGAATTAATGCGTCTGAACATTCTCCTGAATATCTCCAGTCATCAGGTGTCAAGTGTTACAACAGCCTTTTGTCACTTCACATTCTGTTTAGACTAGATAACTAGCTTTTGGACAGGAAAGGTCCAATTACTATGAGTGTAGGGAAACATCTGTCAAACTAGTTTAAGATCTTGGGTGGGAAAAAAAAGGCAACTGTTGAAGCACTTAAACAAATGTTTACACTCACGCATGTCCTGCTGGAGGACAACCTCAGCAAAGGATCGTAAAGGCAACAGCTGGAGCAGGAAGGCGTCCATCGGAACCAGGGCTGCAGCATTCAGCTCACCAGCGAGAGCTACGGGAAGGGATGAGGCATCCAAGCTGGGAGGGAACTTACTGAAAGACATCATCCTTACAGTCAGGCGCGCCACTTTGTCTCAAACAGCTTCAGATCAGATCAGATCAGAAATACTTTAATAATCCCAGAGGGAAATTATTAGCTTGTCAAATTGTGAACCAAGAGCTGAGCTGCACATACTTGATTATCTGGAGGTAGAGCATGTGAAAATTGCTGCAGCACTTCGTCAGAAAGAATTTAAATTCCTGTAAAACAAAAAAATTAAAAAAGGAATACATTTGTGTTACTTTGTCTGCTTATGAGGTTGTGCAATCATCTCGAGTTTCACTACCTTTATGTAATGAACCAAAGTGTTGGCAAAAAATCGGCACATCTTTGCAGTCTTCTGAAACAGTTTGTATTCTGGCCTTTCATTAGACTCCTAAAAGGAGGGGGGGACACAAAAAGAAACTTTACTTAACATCTCTCCTATTAATCTCATGCTAGACAAATCACTCAGGTTTTAAGCACAGGAAATATTAACACTTTATCATCCATGTTAAGCAGATGTTAGTGCTAAGCCAACACAACTGAGGTGACACTATGTTTTTAAGACAAATAAGAAAAAAAACTGAAAACTAGGCTGCCACGTCTCCATGAATACAAAATAGTTCTCTTTTGGTGGTTGTGTCCAAACCTTTGACAGGTCTTAAGAATATATTTATTCATTAATGAGCACAAAAAGCTGCCATAAAAACAAAATTTAATAACACTACAAAGAAAAAAAAAAATTAAATATATACTTCTGTACTGCAGTTCAAAACAAGTCATTATAATTCTCTTTTAAATAACCACTCGAGAGGAACCTGTAAATCGGTCGACTTGATCTGCTCGGCCAGATCCAAACAGTGGTGGAAAGATGCCAGCAGGTTGTCACACAACTTGCTGCTAATGTCACCATGATGGAGATGTTCCTCAACCAACGACTGGTACTTCAGGCTCTGCCTACAAGAAACAAATAAGAAAAGCATTATTGAGAGAAAGAAAAAAAGAAAAAAAAGAATTTGAATGAAGTCTGCTTGTAATAAGAGTGGAAATTAAACCTAAACTGTGTCATAATCTTGCGGGATTAGGAGTTATAGAAAAATAACACCATTTACTTGACGAGGAACTTCCATGTGTTTGCATTCAGTGCTATGTCCAGGTTGGAGATAACAGAGCAGATATCCAGAAGACTGTGAATCACTGTGAAAGATGGAAAAGGTTTTAATTAGTGAAAGCTTTTGTTTGGCTTTATCATAAAAAGTATGGATGGTAGATACATTAAAAAAAAGAAAAGCAGTGCGCATTTATTTTGCAACAAACCTGAAACAATGTTCAAGACCTCCTCCTCTGAAGAGCTTTTGTCCAGTGAGATCCTGTCCAGAAGCTCCAGTAGGCTCTTTTGCAGTGAATACGCCTCTTTGAAGAGTCCCTGCAGCAGGTCCGCCACCAGGGACAGACGGCCACTGTAAACCACCTCACTGTCCTGTATACAAGAAACACAACACCTTTAAATTCATTTTCACTTTTAACCTGTTTGTAAAGCCTCTTTGAACGAAGCAGATAGATCTTAGCCAACCAAAACAGCCTACTGGACAATTTTGTATACAATCAAAACAGTGTATTATCAATCTTCACAGATCTATGATTTCACTAAACGTGTCTTAGCCACACCCCCATTACCCCTTTTGCCTAAAAAATTCAACCAAAACACACACAAAACACAGCAGCAAGTATTGACCTGTATGTGACCTGCTTTAAGAGAACTAGAAGATAACTATAGTTACTTTTATGAACTCAACTACAGCAGACAATTGATCTAGAGTCTACAGCAGACGACTGATATAGACTAAAGGCAGCTATTATTGAGAAGAACCAAGTACCAACTGTGATGCTTCCTATTTAGAATTTAGTCTTTGAAAAGAATAAAGCACCATTTTTCACAATCTGAATTTTTAACTGAAATTGGACCACCTAACAGAATAATCATCTCAAGCACACAAACAAATCAAAACGTTTTCAGGTGATCTCCACTCTTTTCTCGGCCAAGAGCTGAGGCAAACTGACCTTACAATGCTGAAACGTTTCCCTCAGGACTTGGAGGATACAAGCTGGTAGAGAGCGGATGCCATAAAGCCCAGGAGCTTCTTCAAATGAGCCGACATGGCGCACGCAGGTCGACAACGCATCAATGATCTGCATCATTGCCTGGCAGAGACAACACGTTTTAACTTTAAAATGGCAGCTCGCTCTAAAGAGGGAAAATATGTATAAAGAAATTTAACAATACCTGTAGAATGTTCCTCAGAAATGCACATATCTCTGTATTTTGACTGGAAAGGCCTCCGACTTGATCTACAAGCTCTTTTATCATGCCTTTAAACATCTCCACAGCCTGCAAGTATTCATGTCGGATAAAAACAGACAATATTACAAAGATAGATCAGCACTCTTTCAGAATAAGTAATGAGTTTGAGTATATATCATTTAATGTTATTAGCAGCCCCTAATGGGGGTTTTCCATTAGTCCCTACTTGTAACGTCTCAGCTTAGCCGGTGTAGCCTAAACCTATGCGCAGGTGAGTGTATTACAGTGTTGATGATGATAGAAATAATGGCATTGGACATTTGCTGTTGACACACTTTTTTTTTGTTTTTGTTTTTTTTTTAATAGGGGTGGTTCACATGAAGGAGTCTCAAATCGAGCCATGTGACACAGTCATGTGTCGGAAATCCGCCCGACTAAGCCCACCTGGAACCCCTAGCCAAGTGTGTTCTTAAAAAAATAACTGTTAGGTACCTGCCTCTAATGGAACTACAAAAAGAACTAGTAGAGCCAAGCCAAAACACTACTACCAAACCAGGTTGTAGTAAAAAACACCCTTTAGTTGTACATAATAAGTGGTCATTAGGGTACTTTCATTGCTTTTCTGAATCTTCATATCAGTGTTCATTTGTTACATTCATATGTACCTTTGGCAGGATCTTAGAGAAGCATTCATCTTCCAGGTCTGATAAACCAATATGTGGGAGGAACATATCTGTAATTATCTTTAGTATACCTGTAAAGAAGTAAGACTTTACAGACAGTTCATGGGAAGATCACAACTGGCATTTCCTCATTAATAAAAGAGCACATAAAAAAACTTACGGATGTGATCATCCAAACTGTCTGACTCGTGATGCAAAGAGTGCATAAAGTAAAGGAAAAGCACAGAATATAAAGATATCAGAGCCAAAACATGTAGATAAAAATAAATATTTGAATCCCTTTTTTTTATATATACGAGGGGCTATTGCAGGTACACCTTTGTGCCAAAAACCTTACATAAAAAGTTTATCTCTACACCTGCTAAACTACTACTACTAAAATAAGAAAAACGAGAATAAGTATTAGTAAGATGAAGTTGTGAGCCCTGACCTCAAGCTGATGGAAATGTAATTAGCATAAAGCTGTATAGCATAAAGGATATAGTGAGCTTCGGGAGGACAGACTTTAGCTCCTGGCGGCATGTTTCCTGACTCCACTTCGCCACTTCGTCCAAGAGAGAAGTGCTAGTCTGGGACATGATGAAGTCAGACACCGGAGGGAGTCAGCGTTTCCCAAACGACAGGAATCTCACATAGCCTGTCTGTCTCTGTCAGTCTGAGTCATGAAAGGGGATTCATTTCTCATTCATCGCAAACACGGACGTTCGATGTATGTTTTGGCGAAAACAGACACGTGATTTGTCTCTTACCGTAGATACAGAGAGGAAATAAACTCCCTTTCTAGACGCATAAAATGACGCTCTCGTTCCTATAACTTAGCGTCTATTAATGTCACCATTGTACATAGTTAGTCCTGAAATGTACAACGCAGCTAATCAAAACATTGGACGGTTATGCCGCGCGCCACTGAAGGACCCGGATATGACGTATTCACTGACAGGAAGCGTCCATCCTACACGCTAATTGGTTAAAAACTAGTACTTTACATTAAAACGAATAAAACAGTAAGAAACAAGAACGGCGGAATAGTGTCAACGAAAAAAGTGTTTTTCAGAGAATGCCTTTTACCAAATCAATAAACTTGAAAAGTGTGTAAACAATACAAACCAATCATGTTAAATGATGAAAGTAATAGTGTGGTGACGGTGAGTAATAAACAGATTTATGTTAGAAAATTATTTCTAATGTTAATAATGCACATTGACATAGCCCCAACAAAGATCACCAAGACATGATAAATTATGCCATATCGTTGTTATACACCCAAACATATGTATGCATCAAATGATAAGATATAATGCTTTCTGTGAATAAACTAAAAGTATGATTTTTGTTGATACTATCTTTTACTGTCTAGGTTGAGTGAGTTTTTGTAGTTGTAGCACTGGTAAAATGCTATTTTGTTGGACTGGTGGCAGTCCTCAACCGATTTAAAGATTTTTGTTTGTTTTAGACATGATGACGACACACACATAGCTTTGCAGAGAGTTGCTATATTGTGTGTAAAAAAAAGAAAAGAAAATTACATAAAGCCTTGACTGTAAATTATGCCTTTTCCTAGAAGTGGGTTGAGTTTGAAACTATTTAAAACTTCTCCCTCCCCTGTTGACCTCATGTTTTTAGATAATGGGAAAGTCATGGCCTTTCAGGAAATAGCTTTGGATTGGGGAATGGTAACTGGAATTATGTTTTTTTTTGTTTAAACACTCATGGAGCAAGCATTAATGCTCATCCTAAGTCTACTAGTGAGGGTGGAGAATAAATTTCTAATAAATGAGGTTGTCAAGAAGAACGATTTCTGCTCAAGTCTGAAAAAAACACAAATAATCTTTGCATATAAAAGTATTTATAGTCTAGCCAAAACACTTTTACACTACAGATTAATTTATTTGCTCATTACATTTCACAGCCAGGCGGCACGGTGGTGTGGTGGTTAGCACTGTCGCCTCCCAGCAAGAGGGTTCTGGGTTCGAATCCCGGGGGAACCAGGACCTTTCTGGGTGGAGTTTGCATGTTCTCCCTGTGTCTGCGTGGGTTCTCTCCGGGTACTCCGGCTTCCTCCCACAGTCCAAAAAAAAAAAAACCTGCATGTTAGGCTGATTGGAGATTGGGGAAATTGCCCTTAGGAGTGAATGTGAGTGTGAGTGGTTGTTTGTCCTTGTATGTCCTATGTGTGGCCCTGCGATGGACTGGCGGACTGTCCAGGGTGTACCCTGCCTCTCGCCTGTTGACCACTGGGATAGGCTCCAGTTCCCCCCGTGACCCCATGAGGGAATAAGCGGTATTGATAATGGATGGATGGATTTCACAGCCACGCACTTAGTTTTAGTTCATTTACATTCTTCTGTACATTCAGATAGTATAAATGTAATATTGGGTCATTTCTTGGACATTATGGCACTCCCAGACAGACAGGGAGGGCTCCTTCCAATTAGTTTTTGACCCCCCTAAATAAACATGTAAGGCTTCATACATTTCTTTCTTTAAAGAAATCTGCCACAAAAAATTCAAATTATAAAAACAAACAAATATTTGACTAGCAGCTTTGGTCTTTCCTCTAAAATCTAATGAAGGGCTGTAGGGCTCAGGTGTTTTCACTGAGTAAACAATGGAAAGATCTATTTTAGTAACAGATTTAAGTTGTTATGGAAATATTCTATATAAGAACACACAAAAAAGTTATTTTATATGAAAGATCTACCTGTTCTGGTTCAGAGAATTTAAAAAAACTTTTCCTCCTATGAGTTTTATAATTGTGATCAAATCTAAAGAGAGGGATGGCAGTTTTGGATTCATTATTTGTTCAATTGATTAGAGGGATCTCAAAGCTTTTGCTTTTCTTTTGGGGCTCGTATTTGTAGTTTGAAGATTTATGGGAAACGTTTTTCTACTTTCCTCCAGTAACAGAGTACACAACAAAATCAGATTCTTATCTAAGAGGTGAAGACATTCTCAATGTAGTGTAGATTCAATAACAGCACATTAAGATCTGACTATTATTGCTCAGGGCTAATTAACAAAAAACAACTAAAATCCAACCACATCTGAATCGAGTAGGATAGCTAAGGTTGTCAAATGTTGTGGAGAAAGAAACATGGTGTTGCTGAAGTATGAAGTTACATGTGCAAAGCTTTCTTTAATTTGTCCTTCAATACAAACGTTTATGTCAATAGATGTCCAATCATTGATGCTTGCATGCTAAACTAAGATAATTATCACAACTAACTTTAAACATTTATCATTCGCTAAAACTGTGTTTTTGCATGGGCATTTTCTTTCAAATTATGCCGATGAAAGTTGGACATGAAAGCTAGACAATAATGCAAAAGTGTTTGTAGATAATTTGAAGATTACTTCAGGCAACCTCTCTCTTCTTTGGAATTGGGTTTGCACACAACTGAAAGTGAATGGCCATGCCAAAAAGAAAAAAAGTCCCTGTTATCTGTCTCTGGACTTTTAAACAAACCTTCCCACAGGGCAACAGGATGCTATGTTGTTTCCAGCTGCTCGCCTTTTCCTGTATGGACTTTACGCTTGGCAAACCATCTTCAATTCATAGGAGGCCAAGCCAACAAAAACTTAAGAAAGCCAATAATTCCATTACACATTAAATTAGAGCATGATAACAAGTCAACTATTTAGATAAGTGAAACTGGTTAAAAATACAATTAGAAGTCATAAGAGGTGACTCTTTGTTAGACAAATTATATTTAGAATCAGAGCCAAGAATTAAATGACAAAGTGCAGTATTTTAATCAAATGATCATTGTACAGATGGTTAAATCATTACCAAACCTTTTTACAGGTTGAGTCTTATAGACAGAGGCGGACAGTTGAAATAAGATGAAGAAATAGAATCTTATTTTTTGTCATCAGACCAGGTAACCTCATAATCACAGAAGACAATCTTCAGCTTTTCAACTGACACTGAATGGTCTGCTTTCCCAAAGGCCTGCAAAATGAACAACAGGGCACTGACATTAGCTGGCAAAACATGAAAAGAAACAGCACTTGTTCTACATTTCCATCACACGAACTTACAGTCGATTCTCCGAACACCCTCAGCTTTTTCTCCGTGTTGTTGTGCTCTATCTTCCCTCCTCCGAGGCATTTACACTCCATTCCCAATGGCTCCAGAGCCGCATTTACTTTCTCAAATATATGATCTGCAAATGATTAAGACAAATCAGAATGTGTTGACGTGGTTAGTTTGACATCTTTTGTACAAAATCTAGAACATGCCCTCTTCCTATTTGGGTCTCAAAGCACAATGAGAGGTCAGCATTGGCCTATTTTTACTATGCGCACTGCGCGTTTGCAGTCCAGCTGATCTGTGTATTTAATCCTCCCTTATTACAACAAGCCACAACTGACAACTTACTGTGGTACTCTGCACTTTTTGTGCCTCGTACAATGTCTTTGTGTGCATCGCTATCTTTCGCTTTCACCCTGACCAGTATGTATTTAAAAGTTCCCTCGGGGTCAATCTCGACATCGGGGATTTTAGCCAAAGCTTCGGCCATCGCGAGCGTAACTGCATGCAGACTTGGCTCCAGGTGACCAATATTCCTCCTCAGGCAACGTATTCCTCTCTTACAAGGACCCTTATTTGGACCAGAACCTCTCCTGTCTCGACGGGTCGAGTGCGCGCTTTAACGCAGCTCTCGCACGCTGGTGACCCCATGTGTCAGTCAGAAGGAAATACCTGATCATTTCCACCAAGTACTTCATTACACAGACACAGGGAGAACATGCAAACTCCACACAAAAAGGTTCTGGTTCCCCCAGGACTCGAACCCAGAACTTTCTTGCTGTATCTACGTGGGTTCTCTCCTCCCACAGTCTAAAAACCTGCATGTTAGGTCGATTGGACATTTCAAATTCCAATGTGAGTGTGTGTGGTTGTTGGTCCTTGTATGTCTTGTGTGTGGCCCTGCGATGGACTGGCGGACTGTCCAGGGTGTACCCCGCCTCTTGCCCATTGACCACTGGGATAGGCTCCAGTTCTCCCCATTAGGGAATAAGTGGTAACGATAATGGATGGATGGACTTCATTCCCCATTCTGTTTTCAATCTTTGAATCAAGCCTGTGTATAATTTCTTTAAATCTTATATCAAAATGTATACTAATTTGAATGATTTCCAGTAATCTTACAACTATTTGGCCGTGACACACTATCACATCAAAGCAAGCCAAACGTCACAGGGGTGCAGGGTTTCCCTCAGCAGGACAGATTTTTTAGCCCTATCATGTTTACACGTCTTTGGCAGTTATAAAATTGTCATCCACCTTGATACTTTAACTGTATTGACAGGAAATTTTAAAAAGCGATAAAACCTCTGAATAATGAGAAAACAAGGTCATTGTGCAAGATAAGCTAACAGTACTGAATTATTGTTCTGTTATTTAAACAGTCATATGATAATTTCTGCATTTATCATTTAAAGTCGGGAAAAAGGTCAATTCGAGGCAAGGCAAGTTTATTTGTGTAGCACAGTTCGTGGACAAAAATGTTTGTTGTGTTACTCGTTCATACAATACCATGCAAAAAATATCAAAGTGCAGATAATTTCCTCCTAATATTTTGCCAGTGATCCCTGGAGTTGGCTTGTTTTTAATTAATTTCCCGTCCTTTCACCTGACCATTTTCTGAGGATTTTTAAGCTACCTAACACTACATTCTACGATACAGTTTCAGCTATGAGTTTGACAGATCTATTCAATGGCTGGCCAATAATTCAAAACGATAATAAACAAATTATTATGGATAATGGATCCGCAAAGGAACAACCACACACAATCCACCTGCTCTACATGGAAGGCATCAAGATTATTGCTAGTAACAAACAACACATCAACTCACAGTTAGGCCTCAGTAGGATATTATTGGGTTTGGCATTTGGGCTAGATCAATGTGGTGATAATTGGAGGCTTCATAGCAGGCAGTGAGGGCACCTACAAATCCTAGCAGCCATAAGGAGACCATATGGAAGCCAACCACAATCAATTATCTACAAAGATTAAGGCAAATCCCAAGGACTATCCTGAATGGGCGGAATAAAGTCAGGGCCATCTGCAAATATGCCCTGACAGTGATCAAATACCCTTCTGGTGATATAGCCCAACCAAAGGAGGAGATAGAAACCCCTGACACCAAGACAAAAAACCCTGCCTGTCACCATGCACACAGGGTTTCACCACACCCTGCAAGTGTACATGAAACAAAAAGGAAGCCAAGGACTACTGAGTATCAGAGTCACTATCCTGTATAAAACAACAAAGATCAAGGATTGCTTCAGGAAGATGCTCCCAGGGTGAAACCATTAGGTGAATGTGCCAGGTGGCTGAAACCCAAGGAAGGTGGGGATGAAGAGGAAGGAGGAACCATAATGGGAAGATAAGCCTCTACATGGGATGTACCACCAACTGATTAAAAAAGTAGGAAGAAGTGCTGCCAGTAGCAAGGAAAAAGGTTTATCTAAAAGGCAGCAAAACCATATAGGCTGGGGGCTACTACACCAGACAGGATCCGAGGCTAATTGCAGGCCGTGAAAGGAAAGACAGGTCAACGTGTAGTATTGAGGCAGTCCTAAAGTCAAAATGGGAGATACCCCTTATGATGATAAAGAATGACAGAGCTAAAATAGTTTTGGACCACCAGATCCATACCGTTAAGTAGGTGAGGGTTAATCAGAAGGGTGTTGTGATGGTAATGGGTGTAGTAATTTCAAGAGAGAGCAACATTGGACACGAGAAGATGGAAAAATACCAACGGCTGTAAGAGGAAGTTGAAAAGTTATGGCAATTGAAGGAAGCACTGATACCTGTGGAGATTGAATACTTTGGGCTGGGACTTTCGAAATGGGAGAGTGACCATCTAATCCCAGGAACAATATCAGACATTCATGTACAAAGAAAGATGAAATGTGGAGATTTATACTTGCATGGAATTATGCATGAATAAAACATGCTGTAGTTATTTTTCTGTTTAACTCGCAATCTATTAGGAAAAGAGACATGTATCACAAATTGTGTATTTTTGGTTTATGTCATGTTTTAGTCTTTTTATTATGACCTTTTAGGTTTTGTTTTCGTATGCTTTTATTTTGTTTCCACAGTTTTGGTTAGAGTTATCTTAGTTCCTCCCCATCTTTTGTTTTATTCAAGTGTCTGCCCCTAATTTCATGTATTTCCCTGTGCCACCTTCATTCTCGACCCCTCGGTTTCCACTGGCTTCGCTTATCAGTTCAATTCCCTGCACCTATGCTTTCTCACCATCTATCCATTACACTGGTCACTCTCACCTCTACATACACACCTCAGTACTTCCATTCATTGTCAGATTCTTGCTGTGTTACCGACTGATAAACACCTGTTACATTGCCTTACTTGTGTTTACCCAGTGTCTTGAGCTCCTTTTCTGGGTTTAGTTTTGGTTTCAAGATTTCTCGTGAGGTTCCAGGTTTTTGGTTTTTACTTCATGGGAATTTGGTCCTCCTGTATGTGTGTGTGTGTGTGTGAGTGTGTTATTTTTTCTCCCTGTGCTTTGATCCACTTACTCTTGCATGCCATGACAGCATGGCTAGAAGTCCTGCTTTTTAAAAATGTATTTACAGTATCTGTAACGTCATGCTGGGAATCACATTCCCCTTGTAAAATTGTTTGGACTTGACCTCAGTCCAGTAAGTGTTTGCTCAGAATAATCTCTTCAAATCTGAAACTTTGTTTCCTTCTGTGAAAGTTAATTAGAGTTCATATTGTTTTTTGAAGGAAATGGCACGGGTTGTAATGTGTTAAGATGCAGTGTCTTGTATCCGGTGCATTGGGCCAGAAAGGAAGGATATGAATCCAAGTTAAAGAACAAAGCAGCCAGCAGGCGCCACTGCTATTGCACTGCATAACCCCTGTCCATTCCCTTGACACTTTTTCTTCCCTATTAAAATGGTCACACTCTTATTGAGGATATCAATTGTTATTTAAATGTAAAATTGTGTTTCAGGCCACAATGCCTGCTGGCTCACTGTCAACTATTGCATTAGTGTGGGTGAATCATCGCAATCAGAATTCTTAAACAAAAATAGTTCCAAAATGCTTGAAAAACGTTTCCATTTCTTTAATCAACAGTAGGTCTACAAATCAAGAGATCATAAGAAATTATTAACTCTCAGATACTTTTTTTAAAATCAGCTGCTTTTTAAAACTAGCTTACATTACATTACATTTTGGGCAGCTCAAAAAATTTAATAATTAATACCGAGCTGACAGCATCTGAAACATATATTCACAATGTTCCATTTTATTAATTCTTTTCACTGCATCAGAAGCATTGGTGGCTGTACTGTACCAATACATAGGGCAAAAATAATCTGTCAAATATGTACAGTAAAAGCCTTTTATTATTCACAATAAATTATTATTTTGTAATGTGAATTATATTATGTTAAAAAAAAGTTCATTGACTGCCTTCAGTGATTAATACCTTATTACACAACCAGTCAAATGCACAGTTCCACACATTTATGATGACAAAAAAACTGTCCAAATCTTTTCCTGGAATGTAACATTTAATGATTGTCAGTGAAAGTTAGATGTGTTATTTTTCTTTAAAATAATTTTAAAATAATTTTCTTTTAAAAATGTTCTTATCACTTTACATAATGTCTTTTTCTAAAACACCAAAGATCTTATCTTTAACAAATGTCTGAGCAATATACAAATAAAGAAAAGTTTTAAGCACCTCTGACATGTGGAAGACCAGAGTAGGGGATGTCTGATGGGAAATTCCAGTGGAATGCCAAACTCTGCTTGGCGTTTCCTGGTAATTTGGATTGGGCCGGAGAAGTATATAAAAGCAGAGCACCTCAGCACATGCCTACAGACCTCTTAGTCACAGAAGCTGAGACTAAAACAGTTCTTCCAGACTTGCAGCTCATCACATCTACTGCTTAAAAATGGTAAGTGTGTTCATCCTCTCCTGTTTTATGTTTGTTTGTTTGTTTGTTTTACCATATTTGATTGAAAAGCCTGAATCTGTCTTTTGACTGGAATTCTACTTTTGGTTGTTTTTTAGGCCAATGGATTCAAATCCACTACCTCATGGATGCCCTTGTTCCTTCTTTGCTCATGTACGTAAAGCTAATGCAAACAGAATAATATAAATCACACTTCTCAACATTTTGAGCTAAAAGGAATATTTGAATGAATTCTTAAAATCCATCTGTGTCTTTTTCCTCAGGGGTGTGCATGTGGACGAGTGTAGAGTGCTGGTCTTACTTTTACTCGGACACAGTGATGGACTGGGAAAGAGCTAGAACCTGGTGCAGGAAGCACCACACAGACATGGTTGCAATTCAGAACCAGGAGGAGATTGCACATTTGAACAGCTGGCTGCCCATGAGAAAAGGCTACTACTGGATTGGGATCCGCAAGATCAATGATGTCTGGACCTGGGTTGGGACTAACAAGAGTCTGACGAAGGAAGCAACCAATTGGGCAAAAGGCGAACCAAACAATGGCCAGAAGGG